CAAAAAGGAATGTCTCAAGTGTCCAAAGAGACACATTATTATTGTTCAGATGATACAATAAATAAAAAGTAGCTTATTATCATACTTTTACATAATAAATATTGAGGTAAACATAAAACGCAACATTTTATGTAAATTTATTTCATTTCAACTCCACTGCGAACAATGTTTAGGTACTTAATTTATATTATCCTTGACAGTAGTTGATAATACCGAACCCACTCGGAACTAAGGTCAAGAGCAATTTTTGTTGCCTAAAAATTGTGCAGTTCGTTAATAACAGATGCATTACGGACAACCTGCTTAATTTTCAGCTGGAGTAGCTACTCGATTAGAAATTAGAAGCAGGTTAGCCTGATAATAAGGCTGATTAGTTTAAGGAATTCTCAGTGAGGTCCTAATGATATCTGAAATAAGAATGTACTTGTCAGGTCCAAATCAGGATGTCCACAGTTTATCCTAAGTAAAAAATTGATGAAATCAAGTTTTTCACGCTAGAATTTAAATATCATCAGATGATTATTCAAGAGAAAATGGATTTTCCTTATTGTTAAATGTCAATTATAATTTTACCAGTTTTTTAGTTATCTTAAAACTGGCCTATTTTAATAATAAATTTGCAATCAGGTTTTGATAGGGTTCTTTGAATTTCCTTATTAGGTCCTAATTTTTACTTCCTTATCAGGTCCTTCTTAAAAAAAAGTTCTACTCATATCCACATAGGGTGGTCCTTGTCAGGACCTTGTATGAATCGAGGTTATACCCTGTCAGGTCATAATTTTTAGTCGGGTATATTCAATAGATAGGTATAAGAAGAATATCTAAATTTTCGAACATTAATTCGTAACCTAACAAAAACAACAAACTTCCTGTATTTTTCCAGTACTGTTAATTTTCTTACTACCTTATAAAAATGCATTTACTAGAGGACTTTTGAGGAATCCTTGTGCAGCCGTTTTATCCCCGTTGTAATAAACATAAAAATATCTTTAGTAGGGTAGCAGCCTGCGCGAAGTCCAAGCTCATTTAATTTTTACGAGAGTTTTTTTTTAGAACCCGAAAATATATAAATATTATGTAGCAGCAGTAAAATAAAATATTGCGGCTTCTTAAAACAAGTTGCTACAAGCACCGTAAATAATGGTGTTAATGGGCTGTAAAATATCTTTCAGAATGCTTTAAAACGCTACGAATTGTGGGTGGTTCTTCCTCCTCGATCTGGTTCAATTTTCTTAAGCAAATTTACCCTTTTGTAAATTGTATGGCGTGACTAATTTCTTTCTTTCATTGGAGCGTTCACAGTTAAATTATTATTATAGCAGTAGAAGATATTGTCTTAATTAAAAATGACAATAAACTTTTTATATTTAGGTAATTTTTTAACCTACATTGGCAGATATACTCTTCTATAATGTGGTATAATAAGTGATCATCATAAGGTCATCAGTCTGGTTGGACACATACCTCCACTCTTTCCTATCCTGAGCTAAACTCGCATTTTCCTAAAACCGTACTGATAATTGTAGTATGCATATAACATGGAATAATGGTGTAGTTTTTAGCAATTGAAATTCATGTTCCAATTGACACTACTAGTTAGATCACTATTATTTTATGTATCTATACGCTGCGCTGCTGAAAGTGAATCATTAGACTCAGTTCGTATCTATGTCTTGTGAAAACTTTTTGGAACGATTGACTTTTAGAATGTGCTCTAGTTCCACAATATGAGCCCAAATCAAACATCATTAATCATGTATTCAGGTTATACAAGTACCAATAAATATGACTGTACAATTTAAATGTTTCCTAATGGTAACGTTTAAAAGTTTTATTCGAATGGCAACCTAGATCATGTTATTGTTTGATCATTATGTGAATTTTGTGTGTTCATAAAAAAATTGAAGGTAAAAAATGATGTTAACTAAAACAAATAAAAANCATTTCCCTAAAACTAGAACAGCCCACATCCTTAACTATTTGCGAACAGTAATCTGATCTAGGTCTACTTCTACCCCTCCTAACTCCTGTTTCTGCCTCTAATATGTCTCTGACTAGACCTTCATGTCTGAGAAGGTGTCCTACCATCATATCTCGCCTATTTCTTATTGACTTCCATAGAGTCCTCTGTTCTCCTATTATTTCTAATACCTTTTCATTTCTAACCTTTTCTACCCACGTTATCCTCATCATCCGCCTATAACACATTTCGAACGCTTCCAACCTGTTCTTTTCCGCCGCGCCAACTGTCCATGTTTCGCACCCGTACAATGCCGTGCTCCAAACATACACCTTTAACAATCTTTTTCTAAATTTCTAAATTCACCGTTCGCGGGCATAGAAGTGACTTCTTTTTATTAAATGCGACACGACCCTGCGCTATCCTCTGCTTTATATCCCTACTACTCCATCCATCCTGACTTATCTGACTTCCTAGGTATCTAAAATCAGCCACTTCTTCTAATTTTTCGTCTCCTATCTTTATATTCGCTCTTTCCCTAC